CCCCCAGGGAGAATAGTGTAAGGATTTTTAGCAGGCAAATGTAGTTCAAATTGCTCTGCCGCTGGGACCATTGTGGGCTAGAGAATCCCTAAGTCCTCATTGACGTGAAAGACCATAACAACTCTGAATGAGCTGCTACAGTCTAGCTGGTCAAAACAAAACAAAAAAACATTGAAAAGTGAAAACGTGTAAAAGCCTTGGGGCGGCAAAAAACCTAGAGCTGGCCCTGTGTCCTGTGGTTAATTTGTCCATTGGGCCTTTCAGCTCTCCAAGTGCTAATGAAAGATAATGTCAATCTAACGGTGGGAATGTAAAATTAGCTCTGGCCGTATTCCCAGTCTGGGCAGGTTTTGCTTTTCACAGGGAAAAAAGAACTGAGAAACAGAAGGAAAAAAAATCGTCCAAACCATCTGCTCCCTCAAAAGTGGGAAGAATCAAACTATCGACTGGTAAAGGGTTGAGTGACATGGCAGCTCCTAAGGGGTCCTATTTAATTTGAACGACAAGAGAAAGTCAGACTAATGGTTAGAGTTCTTTACTTGTGTCACGTGGGTTCTATTTTTGAGAGGCAGCACTCTAGCAGTGAGAACTTGGGAGTCAGAAGACTTGGGTTATATTTCCAAACCTGCCGTTGTCCAAAACACTTAATCTCAGTGTGCCTCGGTTTCCCTACCTGATGAATATGGAAAATACATACCTTTTTCAAGCATTTTCATGCCTTCCGGTCAAAAGTAACGTATATGCTCAAAGTTCTTATGAATTGTAAGTGTGTTGAGCATATTCTCCTACCTCATATCTTTGTTTATGGACACAATCTTCAGCTCCAGGGACACCATGCAAGCCAGCTTTTTCACATCGAAATTAACATTTGTGTACAGGTGAGGGTGTGTGCATGCGCAATGGCTGTTGTCTGTCTGTATTTGCTGAGGCATCCTTTCCCCTCACAGTTGAAAACTTGGTTCAGTGGGCAAAACTATATCCTTGTACAACCGCATGGATGCATGCGTGCTCACTGACACCACAGCAACGCATGTCCAACCAACGCCAGTGATTTGGGGCATCCCTACACTCACCTAACTGCATTTATCTATGCAACCTCGGTTCCACATTGGCAATTTAACTGACCTGTGTTATGTCAATTACAGCCATGGAGCCCTATTGATTTGTGCCCCTCACTATGACACATGCAAATGAACTGATCTACGTCACCTCAACTCCTTCCCTGCAACTGCACCAACCCTTCAACCTTGCTACCGCCCTCGAAACGGCACAGCTCAGTGCCAGTGGCACAGGCATGTAACCTCAGCGACGCAGGCCTATACTTGATCCATGCAATCTCGGTCAAGCATCTGCCACTCTAGTGCCCTGTGAAAGCATCTTGAGCCCTGTCACCATCGTCTCTCAGCTCCCGGAAAGTGGATTTATCCTCACGAGTCCCCGGAGAGCTAGAAGAGTGCTATCTCCATTTAACAGATGAGGAAATGGGAGCACAGAGCCAATACTATGATAAAAAGCCCATGGCACCGTCTCAGAGCCCGGATCAGCTGACTTGGGCTAGCGGAGCTGGAGCCCAGGCTCTGAGACCCTTTCCCCTCGTGGGGTTTCAGAGTGTGGGCTCCAGCGTGAGCCCGAATGACTACACAACAATTGTATAGTCCCGGAGCCCTGAGCCAGGCCAACCATGGGTCTTTTACAGCAGTGTAAACGTAGTCTAAGAGATTTGGTCAGGGAAACTGTGGCGGAGTCAGGAACAGAGCAATCTTTGTGCTTCAGTCTAGTCTAGTGCCTGAATCCCAGAACTCAGTGGGGCTGTCTGGCATCCTCATCTGTAGGGGTTTCTTTTTAATTTAGGGACTAAAAATAATTTTGTTGTAGAGTCAGAATTTAAGCCCAGAAAGGATAACCCCCCAGCCCCAGATCATCTAATCCCATCTTTCTCAACCTTTTTGATCTCAGGGACCGGGGCTGGTCCATGGGCCGGTCACTAAGAAACACTGATGTAGTCTGACCTCCTGTGTCTCACAGACCCCTAACACTGGCATACTAAACTCAACAACCCAAACAGCCCACAGGAGACCAGGCTAGTATGTGCCACAGGCAGAGAACGGAAGGGATGGGTGCAGGAGGCCCCCAAGGACAGGGGATTAAGCAAGGGGGTCGGGGGAGAAGGCCCCAGGTGCAGGAGGCCCCCAAGGGCAGGGATTAGCAAGGGGGCCGGGGGAGAAGGCCCCCAAGGACAGGGATTAGCAAGGGGGCCGGGGGAGAAGGCCCCCAAGGGCGGGGGCTACCAAAGGGGGCGGGGGAGAAG